AATTTTGCTTTATTTTTTTATATATTGCTGTCAATATTGAACGACAACTCACATCGTTGCTTACATCTTATTAGCATTCTCATACAATGACGTCGGCCGATCAAGACATGCACTGTTGTCCACGTAGGAATTCACAGCAAAATAATCAGTTAAGTAGCAAGCAGTTTTTTAGTCCCAGTAAATCGGGCTATTTATTCCTGTTAACAGATACAGAGCAAATGCAACAATGATGATAGTCCGCACACCGAACATAATCCATGATAAGGGCGCGAAGACAAGGCGTTCCTCCTGTATATTCATCAAGAGCATTTCTTCATCAGTTATCGTTGGCGGGACGGGATCAGCGAACATTCTCGTCTGAGCCAGCAAAATTCCATAGCCGCTTGTTCCATCATCGAAGATGGCCGGCTGATCCTGCCACCGGAGGTGAAGGTCCTCCGATTGTTGCGGGCTTAGCTCGTCGAACGTCACTCCGTGTTTAGGACCCGACAATCTCCTTCTGGAACCCAGGGATAATCTCGGCCCAATCGGCTTAACTGCGACATCTGTAGCGACTGGTTTTGGCTGTTCCGGAGGTGGACTCACTGAACGTTTCAAAGACTTTAGGAGTCCTGGAGGGGATGCAGCCGCATCCTGTCCAGTGTCTGTGGGTTTTCTAAGAAGCTTATCATCAGAACGCGGAACAACGGTGTCAACTTTGGGAGACCCGCTAACTGTTGGATTTTTAGGTTTTTTCGATAGGTTTCTTGCCGTAGGAGCTATCGGAACTGAAAGGAAGATCGGAGCACTACCAGGAGGATTGGCTCCACGATACAAGGGGCCTTCTTCAGCGGGCAATGAATCCGCATTGGACGCAGCAATAGTGGCAGCAGCTAATGCCTTTGCAGCTGCCCTTGCAACTCGGGCATTCTTCTTGTCGAATTTACATGACCAGTTGCCAGGATCATGGGAGTCCGACGAGGATTTCGACCGGCTCGGTGCGACCATAATCATTGGGATGGGCTATATAGGCGTAGCCTCTTACCGACTATGCAGCGATCTTCAGTGCAGTTGGCTTGCGGTGCTCACACCCAAACATTGACACTTCGTTTTTCGGCAAGAAAAATTACAATTTTTTTTTATGCAACTGATACAGTACAACAATTATCTATGGCGGTGGGATGCTACGGAATAGCATGGTATCACTTATGGCTGACATGCAGGTCATATGATAGTAGGGGTTTAGATGTGGCTTTCCTTGAACACACGGGTTCATTCATACCACTTTTAGGTTAGCATGCTTGAACAGTGACCTCAAAGCTGAAAACCGTAACTGCGAATTGTTTGACCACAATGGCTGACATAGATTGGGACGTACTTGTGTAGAGGCGTCGAGAACTCTATGATGGGGCTTATTGGTGTTTATACGCATTTCCGTACTGATTGCTCACAGCACGAAATGAAGCGTGAATAAGTCTCAAACATAATCCACCTCCCGTGTCCCTGTCTCGCTTTACTCAGCTGGTCCAAACCTGCCAGTTCTGGTTATGATTATACGCGACGTGAATAATTCACTCGCAAGTAAACCCAAATATATACTTACATTGTCAGAGCCTCCCCTGTCTGCTCCAGCTTCTAGGTATATCTGGCATTTCGCTCCGTCTCTATGAGGCAGTCCCTGACGAGGATTCGCGCGTGGACTATACCTCGCTTAAGGCGCTCCATTGAACTCCGACTACCCGCATACGTTGGTCTAATATCCCGGCCGATCTCCTCGATCACGGCCAGAAGCTGAGCGTACTTCGATTTACCGGCATATTGTTGCTGCGCGGCGAGTAATTGTGCTGCTAGCATCGGATCGATGCCGGTCGAAACCGCGGGCGAATCCGTTGATCTCGAGTCCTCTTCCATTGCTAGTGAAGGGGGAAAGCTGGTGGTGCTCAACCAGCTCAGGTCCAGATCTTCTACCCTGCTCTGTAACCGAGCACGTGAAACAAGACAATATGTATGTTAAGTCACTATTCTGTTATTCAGTGGGTATACATAGGCGTAAAATAAACCGTGTGACATCGTATTAACTTAATGAGTTTATCTGTTGAGGTTCGTTAGCGGCTGTCGTTGCCCTTCCAAGAAGTGGCGGAAGTTGTAAAAATAATGTGCTCCCGTCAAAGTTTGTGCTGTAAAAATAATGTATTCCAGTTAAAGTTCGTGCTACCCCTCCCCCCAGCCCTGCTTTATGATTGCTGTCAAACAAAAATGGACGGTACATCAATAATGCCTTCCTGAACAGACACAAGCAAAATTTTACGATAAAACATGGAAACAGCATTCACTAATAGACTACTCTGCAAACTTTATCTTGTTTTTTTCTCATCGAATGATCGGTAAACATACCATTCTACGATGATTTTCCCAGCCGCACTTTTTCACAGTTGAAAAGTCCAAACAGACGCTTTCATCTCGTGCTTTTCACATGTCTCAAATATATATGTATACATACGGACACGACAAAAGCTCGCATTTTTATTTTCTCGTTAACCTTCATCCGGAGAGTCACAGATCGAAATATCGATGTAAAAATCAATTTTCTTTTAGTTGCGCCCACTGATAGAATATATCTCCACACAAGGCAGCTCGTCAGTTCAGTATAAAAGAGTGCCACCAAAATGCGTTTGTCTCGGGCTGCCAAATAAATGGCGGTTGTGACGTTTTGTCTTTATTTTTCCAATTCTGCGCCATGACTCAGATTAGTACATGAGCGATCTACGGCCTGAGTTAGTAAAACTAACTTGAACTAGCTTTAAACTTATCGACGACGTGTTGTTAAATATGTGTTGTCTTTTTCCAAAGTGTTATTTTGCTATCATAACGGTAAACTAGCAGTGATCCTTGAATAAACTAATTTACCTTGGCTATAAGCTAAATCAGGCACAAGCTACTATTTACTACTGCTACTAACTTTTATGAACATGTATTACATTATTCGAATATGTCTGCTACTCTTCTGAAAAACGCATTTACTATGTTTATGAAAATATACCATTATAGCGGTTACTCACTCTATTGAAATAGCGTTAGATAAACGAGTGAAGACTTCTCAAGACCAAACAAATTGTTGAGCTCTTTCATTCAATTCAAGTCGCCTCAACCTCAATCGATTTTACAAAAATACTGCAGAAACCGTTAAATTATCTAATAGCTAAGAATTTCACTAGTTAATTATTATCAACGGCATACACAAATAGACTCACTATCCTACATGTTCTTTTCACACGAGCGCCCAATTGATTTTTAGCAGAAGGCAAACACAGGAAACACTGTATCTCTCACCCACACCAGCCCAATTCAACCTAAAGAAGCATTTATATATTCTGCTACACTCAGCCTTTTAATGAGATCGTACACCACCTAGACTAACAACACTCCACAATTCTTTGCGATTTTTCTGTTTTCAATTCTAATCAAATGGCTTACACAGACAGGTTCACTCCGGCAAGCACAGCTATGGAGCACGCAATCCGTTTTGCAATTCGACGATTAGCATCTGGGTCCCGGAATAGCGGCCACGGTAGACTATGGTTGCAATAACCGAAGCTCGGCCCCGAAGCAGCTGTCTTACTAGCGACACTCAATGCTTATCCATATTACGAGCGCCACCACAACAACGACAACAACATTGAATTGACAGAAACAGCCCCTGGAGCAATAACTTTACTGACCCCTAGTGCCGCCACTCTGGAACTTGCTATACGGCCCTTGATAACAACCGTAGCAAACGAAACCGGCACTCACAAACGCAGAACTGTAATGTTATAGCAGTAGTAACAACAAACTTTTTAAACGATCAGCAAACGAAATGAACGAACGGCGCGTGAAACAAAACAATCGCCGAAGTATCGGTGTCACCGGGAGCTCCTTAATGGCCATCAATGCAAAACGCTGCTGACTGCGGACACCGGTGAGGAGGATTCAGACTCAGGGGGAGTGCCTCGGAGCGCCAAAGGAAGATATGACAGAACACAACACCGCGTCCGGATCCTAAGCATCAGGGAGAGCTTAGCGGGGAGTGACGCACAAAAATAGTAAAGAGAAGATATCAGACTATATTCTGATTGGGCTGAATGAGCTATGGTGACCCTTTCGTAAATCGGATGTGGGATTAGAGGAGGGAGACAAAGCAAATGGGGCCTTATGGCGATGAAGTGACGGTGAAGGAGGAGTGCTGTTTAAGTTGCTGGGCTTTATGAATGATTGTGCTACAATGCTGGTAGGAAGAATTTCCTTGCCTTTATCTACCACATTGTGAGTGGATAGAGTGAGGTAACGGATTCACACAGATGCCAGTCGGTACAATAGTTCACGACACAGTGGGCTGGAACCGTAAGCTCTTGACTGATGGATCTCGATTGATGTATCTAACGGGGAATCGAACCTGATACCAGGGATGTCTCATGCTTCAAACAGATTCATTAGCACGTTACTAAGTCAATGCTTGACCTTTCGATTAGCTAACGAGTTTGGCATAGGTTTATCTTATAGACTGAGTGCTGTTGTTTCGTACCTCGCCCCATTTTAACTCTGGATTGTTTAATTGCGCGCTCTGAGACAGTCGATATGGTAAAGTTCATCCATTTTTCGATTCTAATATATCTAACCGAAGTAGTAAACAAAACATGCAATAACCATAATAGACGCCGAAATCATTATCTATTCGACATTATCAATGTAAAAATATGTTACGAGTTTCTTCGCAGTCCCTAGCAATTGTCTGGTGACGTAACAATCGAATTCAATTTCAAAAAATTACCTGTGTAGCCATAGGTGGGCCTACTCTTCATTATAAGGTGAATCCGTTAGTAACTGGAAAGGGCAGTTCCTATGCTTCGTCTCATGAGTTCGTCTTGTCAGCGCTAAAGGCTTTCCCGTGAGACGAGCATTCGAACTGTTGAGCGGCAAAGAGCCCCACAAAGTAATTGACGCTGGCAAGCTATTTTAAGGCTGTGAGAGAAATAAGTGTTCTATCAAGTGAATTGGATCGTGTGTGTGATTATTGTGCGAATTTGTTCTTTTAGCCAGCGAAAAGATACAATGATTTATCTTTAACGCAGAAAATCAGTGTCTCCTAACATGACAACACCTATCCGGTAGGGTTAGAGTGACTCGAACGGTGACATAATCTAATATTATCGTGGAGTAATTTATTAACGATTTTTCTTCGAGCTTATTTACTCATCTTCAATTGTCACAACCCATAGATGGATCAACATGTTAGAGAAATACGTTTTGCTCTGAATGTGAATAAACATTTTTCAAAAAGAAAAAAAAAACAGTTTTGCCTGTCTTCTTGTATGTAATGAAGACCAATTCGAGATGATTTTCAACGCTTTGATGTGTCAGGATGAGCAATCAGATACGGACTACAGTAATTCCTTTATTTCGCTTGTCATGAATACACTTTGTTAATCTATTTTGGATATAGTTTACCGGCATAATTATATTCTACAAGGTCTGACGGACGTGGATCCATGTTACATTTTAAATGCTCCCTCTCTATTGCATCTGAGAAAGGGAGACCGCTGTTCGTCCTGGGCTCATTCAGAATACACAGAACTCTTCCGTTTTCAGTATACGGTGAAAAGTGTTATGAAAAAATACTGATCTACGATATTCATTAGTATTTAGTATAATCTACCAGCTCCGTGAGAATCTCTCATAATAACTTAATGAAAACCCTAAACATCTGTCGGGTTTGCGCAATTCGGAGCGTCAGTTGTACATTACAGATCATGAATTTTGAATTTATTCAGAAGTTTAATAGTGGTTTTAGGAATAAGCATAGCACGTTTACTAGTTATGCTAGATTTTTGTGAATTGACTTAACAGTATGTATCGTCTTTATATATTTTTTGCGAGGCCTAAATCAAATGTTGCGACCACTGAAACATATTCTTCAGTTCTTGTCCTTATTGAACTAAATAAGTCATAACTTCCATAGCCAGCACTCTTAGCTATGCTTTCCACTACTGGTGTCGATGCTGTTATTTAATATTGCCTCAAAGATCTATTAGGGTAGGAGAATCTGAATAGGAGGTGTAGGAGAACGGATTACTATTTTCGTTGCTTTTACAACTGCTCAGCTTTTTTAGTGAAGCATCGAAGTACGGCTAAGCCCAGATTCAAACCTGGGCTACTGCATCTTAATAAGATATAAGTGTCTGTTAGGTTAATGACCCAAAAATATGCTAGTGACGTGCTGTATTACTAACGTATTATTATTCATTAGTATTATGGCCAAACATTTAGTTGGGGTCAAGATTTCTTCGGGCCAATCGTTTGTTGATTGAATTTTATCTATGAAACTAATTCGTTGAAATATTCACGCTAAAATGTGCTATTTCGATCCTCACATAAACTACTGAAATAACTTCATCTGTATACCTTTAAGTATTCTCACTGACCCACCTGTTATTGCGCAGTCTCGAGAACGAGCAGCTGGGATCGGCCCATTTTGACGCTATCCGGGAGCAGGACGAAGCTCGGGCTCTCGAAGATGTGCGCCAAAAGGAACGCGAGCTCGAACAAGAGGCGGTTCACGCCTTTGACGATCTTCTTGAACACTCTCAAAGCAGTGATACCAGCTCCTACTACAAACCACCGACGTCCCAGTTTGAGGGTAGACTATTAGTGCTTGCAATCAGCTAAGAACTTCGTATTGGACACCGCAATAAATTCACGGATGCGTACAAATTCGGAGAGTTTTACAACTTTTTTTTTTTAAAAGACCTTTAAGAGGTAAAAATTAAAAAAAAAATAAAAAAAAAGAGGTAAATCCGCTTAGGAACACTAGCGTTAGCACTTAGATATTTGCCAGAGTAGTATGGTGTCTTGAACAGCATTATATAAACTGAACTGTCGTAGTACTGATTTTAATCCTATTTCAATTTTGTCAAGTCAACCTAAACTTCATGAACTCGCCATTTTTGTCTGTATATTCAGTAATCTAACGTTCTGTTATCTATGTTCGGTTTTTGCGCAGTTAATCACCGCGAAGAGCTTTATAATCAATGCCAAAAGGAGTTGGAAGATTCACGGAAAGAGAACATTCGTCTTGTTACTGAGCTCAGTATTCTTCGAAGGGAATTCGCACAGTTAGCCAAAGATAAGTCGACGCTCGAAGATGAATTGCAAAAAGTTCAGGTGTGTTTATATGTTCTCGGAATGTTTCTTTAAAGACTTAGACATCAACATCTTTATGTGTGTAACTTATTCCGCGGACTGTTATTAGTATTGCATAAGCAAAATACGCAACATAAATAATCATACTTGGATCTGTTTGTCCAAATAAAATTTTCACACGTATTTTTATTTCTCACTTAATTTATGAAATTGGTTATTAATCCAATAAGAAATTGCACTTGACTTCTAAAAATTGAAAAATTAAGTGAGCCTTCGATTTAGTATATATAACTCTGTAGAAATGTAATGGAGAAAATGTCATATTTAACTTAAGGATACGTCATTATATTCTTCGCCTTTTTTTGTCGTTTTAGACCCGCGTAAGTTTGCTCGAACAGGAAAACGGGGAGCTTTCTGACTCTCAAAATGTTCATCGTGTGAAGGATCAGTATGAAGCAGTCATAGGTGTGTGTTATAAGTTAGCCAAAATGGGGGTTATCTTTTATTTACAAAACGCTATTATGTTTCTGACACTCAGTACTTTTTATATTTGGATCCAAATA